CTCCGGCCGCGGTCGCTCGGTCCCGGGCTTTCCGCCCCCGCACCAGTAGAGCTACAGCCGACCAGCCGCTGCCGCCCCCGGGAAGGGAACCCGCTTATGAGGCGGCGCTGCCCGACGGGAGGGGCTTCCCAGGGGTGGGGCAGGCGGGAGCGGGGAGGGGAGGAGACGGGAGGGGGATGAAAGAGGAGGCTGGAGAGGTGGGGATAGGAGGATGAGAGAGGAGGGAGGCGGGAGGCAGGACCGGACCAGGAGGGGGAAGTGGAGAGACTGACGGCCGCGGAGAGAGTGGGGCGAGGAGGTGCGACGGGGTGGGGTTCCTGCGGGGAGGCACCTCTGCAAATCCCAACCTACTGCCTGCAAGTGTGAAGTCTGCCTTTTGGGGGCGGACTGGAGAGGTGGCCAGAATCCTACTGACCCCCCCAAAAACCCTGAGATTGTGCCGAGGGCTGGGTTGGGGAAAGCAAATGGAAAGGCAGGACAGGTGTTTGGGAAACTGGGAAGCTACTTCCACATCACGCTGGATTTCCCCTCTCATCCTCGTCTCCATTCTCGGGGTGCCTTGAGAAGGGATGAGAGAGCAGAAAGGGGCAGCCCGCCCTTCTCCCCTGCCCAGACCGATGGTTGTGACCCTTGCTGGGTTCCTCTCTTCCTGGCTCTTTGCTGTGGTCTGAGGGAGTCAAAGGCCCTCCGGTGTCCTCTCCTCCGCGTCTCCCCATCTCCGACCTTCCTCATTCGCCCATCTCACCTCACTCTTGTGTGCTTGGCCCTGCTACTTCTCTCGCTCCTTCCTCATTCACCTGTCATCCCCAACCATCTGTATGTCACATCTCGAATTCCTCTATCACCTCTTCTGCACGTCACCCTGACCTTCCACCTCTGGTCTCTTTCCCTCTGTCTCCCGCACCACACTCTTCTGATCTTATCTGAAGCAGTCACCTGGCCCTGTATCCTTAGCCGATTTTCCCCAACTCCTTTTCATGTCCTCGGTTCTTACATTTTCCCTCTCTTTGCTTTTCTCTTTCCTCTGCTGCCATCTTCCCCAACCTTTCTGTATAATATTTGCCTCCTTTGCAACTACAATAGGGGTCCAGGTCTGGCGTTCCAACCCCGCCCTATTCCACACATCCTCCTCTCCTTGCCCTCAATGTCAGCATCTCTGGGCCAGTCTGAGAAGCTTGGGGTTTCGAGAGGGGACAGGGGATGGGGTGTGTATTAAAGGCGGGGAAGCAGGAACTGGCGATTAGCTCAGTTGGGTAGAGCACGGCCTTGCAACACCCAGGTCGGTGGTTCGGATCCCTCTACAGGCCAGCTCCCTCAAAAATAAGATAAAGGTCAGAGAGGGGGAAGGGGCGATAGGCTGGGGCTTGGAAAAAGATGTCCTCGGTGTTTGTCTAATTAATTCCA